CAGGACCAGGATCAGGATCAGGACCAGGATCAGGACCAGGATCAGGATCAGGATCAGGATCAGGATCAGGATCAGGATCAGGCTCAGCTGGGATCAGGATCGGGATCAGGACCAGGATCAGGATCAGGATCAGGATCAGGATCAGGACCAGGACCAGGATCAGGCACAGCCGGGGCTGGGCCAGGGTGGAGAGAGGGAAAGCTCCTTCCCCAGAGGCTGCTGGCACTGCCCAGGCCCCAGGGAAAGCCCCAAGGCTGCGGGAGCTCCAGGAGGGTTTGGGCACCACTCCAGGGATACCCAGGCTGGAATTGCTGGGGTCAAACAGGCTCTTTCCACATTCCTCCAGATTTTTCCAACCAGCTGCTCTGAGTGGCCACAGCACTGAGTTTTTCCCACCTGATGCTCAGTGTTCCAAACCTCAATGGATGAATGGATGCGTGGCTGGAGCAGGAAGTGTTCCCGGAGGAATGGGAGATGGAATATTCCCTGCACACCCTTCCCTGAGCACGCCGAGGGCAGCTCTGTGTGTCTGGGGGAAGTTTCTGTCCTGGCAGAAAGGAATGCAAGGTAACATTCAGCACCTTTCAGATCCCTGCCACGTGAAAAGGAAATATTCAAATTGCACAACTGAACCCACGCTGCTTCAGCAAGAGTGGAGACTAAAGAACAAAATGAGAAGCAGCTGCTAAAATCCAACTGCTCGTGCTGCTCACAGGAAACCTTTGATGTTTCCAGGCAGAACAGGCCTGGAATGCCTGGAATTAAGGCCCTGCTGGAATGCCAGCATCCTCCTTAGGAGTGATTTTATTGTGGGACTTTCACACCTCATCTCCCATGAAACTTTAATTTTATTGATCCAAAGAGTTTGCACTTCCTAAAGGCACTAAAGATGGTTCTGCCCATGTGGAATTTTAGCCCCTGTGCTGCTGATCACCTCAGGAGTTTTTTAGAAGCTTTCTAAGATAATTTCTTGCTCCTTGTTCCTGTCATTGTTTTGCACTCCAACAGCTGCACTTTGCTTCATTTCCAGCCACGTGTAATTGCAGTTCTTATCTCTGCTCTCCATTACCTGCCCTGAAAATCCTGCTTGGAGAATGAACCCGTCAGCGCTTCCTGGCTGCGCATCCCACAGGACATTTCCATGTTTCCATCTGCAGGGTTGCTCAGAGCAGGGGGAGTTTCCAGCAGCTCCGTTTGCTTTTCCAGAGCTGACTGAAATCCCCCTGTCCTGCCTGGCTGGAAGTTTCTGCTTCGCTTCCCTGCTCAGCTGAAACTGCTTCATGCAACAGTTGAGTTCCAGTTTCTGTGGGACAGGAAACTCCTCCTTCCTCTGCTGCTGGCATTCCNCCTGAAGATTTTATCCCAGGGAAAGCTGTTTGGACATGGGAAGTTTCCATCTGGAGAAATGAGACAGCACGGATTTGTTCTTGTCTGCCAGAAGAGATGTGCACACAAAAATCCCGGACGAGTGGGAGCTGCTTCCCTGAGCTTGCTGTGTTTTTGTGGAATGATTTCAGGATTTATTCAGTCTCCTTGATTGTTTTATACCATGAGTTACTTGGCTGGCTCGTTATCATGGTGCAAACAATGCCACTGATTCATTAAAAATGTGAGGATGTGCTGCTGTGAAAATTTCTGATTAAATTCTCAGATTCTTGGGCTTTATAAAAACATAATTTTTGGTTTACTTTAGAAGATGAGTAAATCACATGCATCATAAAGAGAATATAACACTGCAGATTCTCTTGTGGTTGGGTTTCAGTTGAAAATAAACCCTTTAAAATATAAAAATATAAAAATACAATGTCTCCTTTTTTCCTAACCCTTTACTCCCTCCTTTTCACCTTCTAAATTTTTGTTTTGGGATTTTTCCCAAGCTCCTGGAATGTGCTCTCCTTGCAGAGGATGGGTTGTTGCTGTAGGTGGCAATGCAGGGAATTAGGGAATGAGGCTTGATCACAGGAGGCGACAAAACAAAGTGAAGACATCAATTATGTCATTTGTCACCTCAGCTGCTTTCCCAGTTTATAATTATGGGGAAATAAGGCAGGAGATGAAAATAATTTCTCTGGGAAAATGAGGACAGCTGTGCTCAAACTCCCAAGTCTTTTAACAGTGCCTGAGTATCTCTAAGTTTGTAAAAAAAAAAAATCTATTCAATACTTTCACATTTGGATCCAATGGGATGTTTTGTTCAAGTAATATAATGAAGTAGTAATTAGTGTAGATTTGCTTTCATGCTTAGTCTGCATATTATGTTTACTGATATTTATCAATATAATTTGTATTTACTGATGTTTAGGAAGAAGAGGGAGCACACAATATTTTAATTATATCAGTCATTAGCCTATTTATGGAGACAGTGAATTTTCCCCAGCCTGTCAGTGCCTAATACAGAGAAATACAGGCAGGACTTTGCATTACAGGTGCAAAATCTGTATATTTCTCAAGATAATGAAAATAACTATTGCTCAAGCTGTGCCTGGGAGTGAGCCCAGGGCAGGAGCAGGTCACCCTCAGCCCCTGCAGGACTCCACAGGGACATCCTGAGCATTTCTGGGCACGCAGGAATCCCAGAGCAGGCTGGAGGAGCAGCTTGTGTTATTGTATTATTCACCCTGCTTGTGTTATTGTATTATTCACCCTGCTTGTGTTACTGCTGCCCTTTCCCATGGCGGGTTTTGGGGTGCCTCTTTCACAACACCTGGGGTGGGATTGGGATGGGATTGGGTGCAGGATTGGGCCCTGCTCCCATCCCCAGATCCCAGCTGGGCTTGGGAATGAGACAGAACCAGGAAAGCACCAAAATCCAGCAGAGAAAACAGAGGCCAAGGGGCAGCCGGAGCTCCCCAGAGCTCCTCATTCATTTTCCTCATCCTCCCCTTTCCCCTGCCTGTCCCAAGCCTCCAGGATTTACAATATCTCATCCCATTTCAGTTCCCAGCCCTGCCTGGGCAGGTTC